ATTTAGACTTACTTTTTGAAGGGAGCAAGCCTCATGTTTATACATTGGTATGATCACTTACAGTTTGCCTGTAGTGAGGGCTGTAGCCCTCTCTCAGTGGAGAAAACCCACTTTAATGCTGCTAATTAAAAGGGATGGAAAATGTGGTGATAAGTACCAAATATCTTCTCTTTAGGGGAGCAAATGCATATAGCATGTCACGCTAATCTAATTAAGATCATTTAACACAACATGAACTACAGTCTGAACACTTGTACGTGAACACTTGGCATAGCTCTGTATCTCCATGACGTATCTTCACATCCTTCACACTTGCCCAAAACCTGCAAAAGTTGGCACGGGTTTTGGACCATGCCTTTATCACACTGGCCATGAGCACCACCAGAGGATCTGCAAGGCAAAGGGACAGAGATTCAGTGCATTAGTTTTAGCTGAAGACTTAATGGACCTCAAGGCCAGGGAACATCATTGAGATTATGAACTGTGATGCCCTGGAAACACAAGATAGCTCCCGTGAGCAGCACAAGGTACATAGGAACACCAGAACACAAAAGTAGTCTTCCCCATAAGGCTGATTGGACTGGAACAGATCTTTCAGAAAAATCATTCAACGCTGCAGAAGCTTCACTCCCTCTGCTTGGGAAATGGTCCAAAACTTTACAGACCAAGCCCATAAGTAAAGTTCTTGCAGGACAATTAAACAGAAAGGTTCCACCTCTGGCAGAGGAGGCCTCCCTGACAAAGATTTCAGAGCTGGAACTGTGCTTTTATCACGTTTCTTCTAGCTTTTCACTAAGTATCTCTTCCTGTGCACTAATTCCTAGTGTCAGAGAGGATACTTGATGGATGACACCCTGTTTCCATATTATTATCTGATAGAAGTTTGCCTCTTATTTCTGGGTTAACTTTTCTACTGGTTCTTCACAGCTCAAACTAACGAGACCTCCGTTCTCATGAAAAAAAAACCCAACCAACCAAACTTTCTCATGCTTATAGACCCTACTTTAGCTGTTTTCATCCATGCACAGTTATGCAACATTGAACTTCTTCTTTTCAATCAAGAGGTTGCTTTCTGGTCCTGACCAGTTGCATCCCATCTTCTTCTCTGTTCTTCTCTACTGCTAGATGAGCCACTTGGCCTCTCCTCTGCCAATCCACAGGTGAATAACTGAAAAAACCCACCCCTGTTTCTTATAGACAAGCAGCTTTCCATGTAAGCATTAAATATCAATTACACAAGAAGCCATGCAGTGCTTTAATTATAGTCATGAAAAATCATCCCATTAATCAAGTTTTTAATCAGCCAGTTTCTAGTAATAAGGTAGCAACTGTTATTTTATCGATTAACTCTTAACAAGCCACCCAGATAAATCAATTCTACATTTTTTTTGCATATATCCTGTTTTACAACAGGAAAAATGCTCCCTTGATCAGAAACGTGTCTGAGGGCAAAATAAGCTCCTCCTTGCTTCTTTTTGGCAGTGCTGTGCTTCCCTCTGGGGTTTGCTCACTGTGGCCAGAAAAAGGGCCCGTTGCTCTTACACCCACTATCCCAGCCCAGGCTCTGTGGGAAGGGCCCTGTCATCCTTCAAAGCTGTGATGTAGGAGGCTGGGTCCACTTCAGATCAAAAAGAGCAGCAGAAATAAAGGGTGATACAAGAAACAGAGAGCTTTGCCTTTTGAGAGGAGATGAAAAGAGCTCAGCTCACTTAGTCTGGCAAAACAAAAGCCAAGAAGGGACATGGCTATGGTCTAGAAATACATGGAGAACTGGAGAGGGAAAAAAGGGAGGGAGGAAACAAGGGTGAAAAAGAGCCATTTCAGCTGAAGAACAAATGAGAACAAAGCAGCTGTGAATTAATATAAGCTGGAGTTTAGAAATACGTGCTAAGAGGCTCAGAGCAGAAAGACTTTCCAACAGGCTTCCCTTGGGAGTCACTGGGCAAAACCTAAACAAGGTTTTTGCATCACTTGAGCTGTGCATGGGACAGTCATTATTGCGAGGCATTTGCAATGGTTAGGCATGAATGCAGGGCTCCAAGGAGCCTGTCTTGCCCTCAGAGAGGGTTTTCTGGGATCTACATTCAGGTTAGGCACGAAGCCACTTGATTAATTATTGCCTCTGCTGACTTCTCCCACCTACTGCTCAGTTCAACACCGATTATTCAGGATCAGCTCATAATAACCTATTGAAGAGGTACAGCTTTTCATTTGCATAAGCAGTTTCAGCCAACACAGTCTGCTGAGATAGAAAATATGCACTGAATATTTAGCAAGTCTGACGGCATTTTGAAAGCATGTGATAGTACACAACCAATGACATCATGTGTGTCTTGTGTTTCCTGAAGCTGAAGGCTAATGCAGAAGAGAAATTAACTCAAAATTGATTGGAGCAGTGTTTAAACAAAAAAGATGCAGAGTGCTTCTGAATTTAGATGCCGCTCCCAGAGTACCCCTTCTAGCCATACCAATACTGATACAACACTGCAAAGCTATATCCAAAACTGCTGAGCAGGAATAGAGATTACAGACAAGTATCTCACTCCTCCTCCTTGGAAAGGTACGACAAGGTAGTATGTTAAAGCCCAGATTTGGTTTGACCCACAAACCCACTGTCAGATCAGGCCACATATAATTCACAGCCTGCTGCTCCAGCCTGGCAGGTGGCTGTGTTATAGCTTTAGGAGCTTGCCCAGGTTTCTGAGAGACCTGCTCCTTGCTGGGGTTGCCTATTGGGTACCCATGATCAGAGAGGTTTGCAGACCTATGCATTTTTTGCTGCTGCGACTTCTCCTTCCACAAAACACTAAATATCCCTGGAGCTAGGATGCACCAATATTAGCAGAGGCAAAAGTCCCCACGTGTCCTTTCATCTGTCCCAATGTTATTTTCTTGGGTGTTATTCCACCCATCCTACAAACCACTTGGGCAATCATTAGTCCATTGGAGGTTGCCATACCAGGGCCTTTGTTCAAGGACAGCCAGCAGCATACATCTGGTCTGGCATGATTCGGCATTACACAATCCCTTTTCAGCTCTCCAATCTGCTGATCCTATTTACTACTTCCATGCACTTGGTGCCTAAATAATACCACATATTATCCCAGCATTAGCAGTAACACCCCAGACCAAAAGGGAGGGTGCTGTTGCACAAAGACCCATTTTTCTGCGCTACCTTTCCAGCAAGTGTTGTCATCCCTCTCTGCCACTGCTGTTCTCATCCAACAGCTATGGCAAAAGCATTTACAGCATGAGCAGCAAATGGTATGAACTAGTGCAGCAGAGACCAGAGCTAGCACAGCAGGCAAGACATGGAATCACTGAGCATGCTGGCCTGTGCTGTTGTGCAGACAGGAGGACAGTGGAAAGGGCATGGGATGCAAACAGCCTCTGCTGCCCAAGGGACACCCTCACACCTGCCTGGAATGCTTGGAGACCTACTTGTCAGACGTCTCCAACACATCGCACATATGGAGGAGAGGCACATACACTGAACAATGGCATCCAATGGGCCTTGGGAAAATCCAGCCAGCAATGGATTTAACACCGGCACTGATCCTGCTGGCAGCCTGCTCTGCATTTTCTCAGGGCAAGAAGTGCTAGGGCACTGAAGAGCTCTGCTTGGAGAAAAGCAGAAATCAGCTGTGGGCTGAGAAATACAACAAATCCCTGCCTGAGTCTCGAGCATCCCAGTCTGTTCCTGATATCCCCAGATCCACCCTCTCACCCCTGTGTAGGTGCAATCAGGTCAGGAGAAAGTTTTGCTCCTTGTTTTTTAGACCAATGCTGTCAGAAAGTACATTCACATTGAAAAAAGCAGCTCCATACGAGAACGTGCCCAGGACAACAGCTCAGCTCTGCCCACTAATTTTATTTTTAACTGATATAAAACAAGAAATCTTTCCCTGCAAATACCTGTTAGCTTAGAGAGAACAAGAACAGTAAATCTACACCTGCTTTTGCTGAAATCTTGCCATATGCTACAGAGCATCCCCACGTGCACACACACTTATGCACCCATCATCTTTCAATATACTCACATGCACAGAAAGCCATCCCAGAGCAGATTTCCACCCCCTTCCCCCCCCCCCCAAACAGTGCAAGCATCTGAGTCTCTAAAGAATAATGAATGGTTCCCCTGTGCCATTTTCACTGCCCACCCTCCCTCAGGAATTCTTGTTCAGCCTTAAGAATGCTTTCACTTGTGTGGCCCGGGACAGCATCACCCAGCAGGGAATTAAAGCAGGGGGCAGGTCTTCAGGCAGGCACTGGGGAGGACAATAGGGAGCGGGAGGGAAGAGGGCTGTGAAAGCTGCACACTTTGCCAGGCATCACTCAGGGCTGGATAAAGGGAGAGTAACGAGCTGGCAGAGCAGTGAAAGCCGTTTGATTTATTCTCTGCTGCAACAATTATTTATTCATCAATAAAGGAGGAATGAGACCGGATGCCTGCTCAGAGGTGGCATTTGTGGGAGGAAGGAAGGTACAAGGACCCCACCCAGGGAGGGCTGTCTGACACTTCTCTTCCCCCCACCCGCAATCATAACCTCTGATTTAATTATCTTAATGGGAACAGGGGAAAAAGTCCCAGACAGAGACAGCAGAAGGGAGAGCAGGCATTGTTTTCTCAGTCAAAGGCTTCTCCCTATGCCCAGCAGCAGGCTTACTGTGCCTGATGCCCTAGATATCTTTTTGCTCTCCATCCCCTAGGAAAAAGCCACATCCTGACAGTCCTGCTATTTTCCCTTTGCCAGTAGAAAGCCTGGCACATACAACATGTCCCATGCTGCCCGTGAGGATAGATGGGGCTTCATGGACATGCTCCCCAGGCACCATCCTGCCATGCCAGCAAGAGGGACCCCACAGATGGGGACAATCTTGGTAAGGCTGCAATAGCAAGGACAGGATTGTATGGCAAAGAATGAATGAAAAAGCCCCGGAAACAAAGAGAGAACAATTAAATGAAACAGCTCACTATCACCAAGATCAATGCCATTAAATAATAGTTTTTCAGGCCAAGCCTTGTGGGCCTTGGAAACAGCCTGAACAAACTGGGGAGAGTTTGGGCAGATGTCCAGTACAAATGAACCCAAGCATGGACTCCTGAAGCTGCCAAGTTTTGCTCCAGTACCTGAAGACAGCACACTTTGGGGAGTGGGTATTTGCCTGCTGGGCTCTTTCACGCTCAGGAATCTCATTTCCCAGGATGTCAACAAGGCCACGAGAGCTAGAAATGTATATTTGCTTTTTAGTGACAGCTGAACTACACAAAATCTGGCTCTAGGGCTCTAGGAAAACACAGTAAATACCATTAAGACTTGCAATAAAACTACTCCACTTGACAACAGAAGGTTTTTCTTACCCACTGCTCCTCCACGCTCCTTCACCTTCTTGCACTCACGCCCAGCAGCTTCATCTTTGCTACCAGGAGCCAGTATATGAAGCTCAGCTACTACACCCAGCATCACATAAGCAAGCAGATCAGCCTTGTACCCTAGGAGAAACAGAAAACAAGCTTCAGTACAGCCCCAAGCAGCCCAACCAGCAGCTTCCAAGCACAGCACAGGGTAGAGGAGCCCCTTGCTGAAAGGTCTCCCAAACTCTCTGAAGAGGCTTCATTCCAAACTCAAATGATCCCAGCTACACATCAGCCTGGCTCCATACTGCTGTACAAATAGGTCTGTCAAGCATAAGTGGATTTTGCCTTCTCGGAGAGGGAAAATTAAGAGAGAATTAAGGAGAGACCTACTGGGTCAGCAGTCCCAGGTCCTGGCTGCAGCAGGCGACACCTTGTACAAGCCCATATGGGTGCTAACTACATACAACTCCAGACTGCTGTGCCAGCCACTCAGCACCTACTTTATTCCAGCTGGAAAATATATCAGGACAGACTCTTGCATATCCCAGCAGCAAGGAAGAGGTTGACCCACCCTAGCAGCAACAAGGCAGTTAAACCCATTCCCCACCATGCTCTCCCATACTCACCAGCCATCCTTGTGTTTTATCTATTCTGCCTTTGGCCCACCAGCTTTCCTAGCTCTGGCCATAACAAAGCATGTGGTTTAAAGACTGAGCATGTTTAAATATTAAATGGGAGAAATAAATAATAAATGGAATCAAAAATATTTTTTATCCCTAAATGGGAATATCACTCACAAAAACAAAAGAGGCAAGGGGAGCCTGTCCCCAGGGCTGTAAAATACCACAGCAAGCAAGGCACCAGCCTCCATGCTATTGCTAAACATTCCTCCACAGAACCTCTCAGTACTTAAAACAAGAAACACAGCATGTGATGAGAGAAGGGTTTTCTCAGCATGGAGGTGTGCAAAACCCTCAGCTCCTGAGCCCAAAAACTCCTCTTGCCCAAGACTGTCCCAGACGTGATCCCTGTGCAAGGAATAGCAAGGCAAGATCACAGAAACACAGTCATAGAATCACACAGCGGTTTGGGCTTGAAAAGGACCTCAGAGAACATTCAGTTCCAACCCCCCCTGCCATGGGCAGCAACACCTTCCACTAGAGCAGGTTGCTCAAAAATGGGATCCCCAGCTCTCCACCCACCAGATAACTCACACCAGCTAGAGGAGCAGGAGCTTTGCTGCTGTGTCCTTAGGATGGCATTGGATGCCTCTGAGTCAGGGAGGCTGTGATTGTCCAGGAGACCCAAGGACATTCCTGAAAGCAGGTATGTGAATTATCGAGATCTTCTATTCTCAGTCCTTTGGAAGCCACCAGTCACAATGTCTGTCATGCTTTCATGACCAAGGAGGGCAGCGAGAATGCCTCACTCCCAAACATCACACACACACAGAGTGAAACAGTTTTCAGTCCATTTTGAAGCACTGGAGAGAGACGGAAGCATGCAGCCCCTCTGTGCCTAGAAGGATCTCTCTCAGAAGCTCCTGCAAATGGCTCTGCAAACTTTAGTGACAGCATAATTGCACATTATCTCCTACAACTTCACTTTGACGATTTAGGGGACAATACAAAGAGCAAAGAGACTGTAATATTCATACTGACATTTCCCCAAAATGCTTCCTTTCCTGATAAAGCCATTGCCTTATGAATATGGAAAGCTTGCCTGAAGGCTTTGCTTAAATGTAGTGCATTAGTATTTAATCAGAAGAGGTGGAGTGGTAGCAACCTCTATACAACAATGGCCCAGCACACTAGGATGTGCAAGACGTTTTCCATTTTAATGGACAATCCTGTTTACAATCCCTCCTCTAAAAGGGCTTATAAAAGATTCACTTTGCCTCAGTATTTGAAACAAGAGTTAGTCAGAAAATAGGATTTTGTCTCCTATTCTTCCCCTGTGGGAATTTCTAATGAAAACCATTTTTTTGTCTGAACTTTTCCCTAAGAAACAAAAAGATTTTTTTTCTCCATTGGTAAAAACCAAAAAAAAGTAGTGAAAATTAAAATTCTTCAGGCACAGCTCAACATATTGTGAACTGAAATGACTGCCAGAGTGCCTCAGGAGAGCTGCATGGGAAGAGCCATGTGAAGGGAAGCACAGTGTTTTATGGACCAAGTTCCAGGCTACCAAAAACCGTGCGAAGTTTTGGTTGGAAAACCACTGTCAGTGGTTTTCTGCAAGGTCAAGCATTTCAAAAGCTGTCTGTGCATTTGGGTGCACATTTCCTAGGAGTAAAGAAGCTGGATTTTCAGAAGACACATACTTGGCACCTCTTGAAAAGCAAAACTGCTGACAACTGATAACTTGAGTTGGAGGACGAGTAAATGCTTGGGCCAACTTGGAGAAAAAGAATGCCTTTTTTTCTTCCCCCCCCCAAGGGTGAAACCTATGGAAGCCTCTGTGATTTTTGCCCCATACTTCTGAAGAGCCAGGACTCCACCCATGTGGTTTCTCTTCGCAGTTCATTGATCTGGCAGAGGGGCCACATGATCTTTAAGATCCCTTCCAACCCAAACCATTCTATAATATGATTCCATGATCTGTCTCCACATCCATAATGGACACCTGGTACCACAGCGGTTGATGTTGACAACCATGATATTCCCCCTGTCTCCCTCTCTTGGCTCTTCAGACATGGATACTAGCAATCAACTGATTTCCTTTAATGCCACTGTAGAGCAAGTCTGATTTTGACAGATTTATATTTAGACTTGCTTTCTTTCTTTCTTAAGTATTTCTGTTTACCTTTTGGGTAGAGCCCCAAGTTCACCCACAGAGGCAACCATTGAACCATGGAAAGCAACAAAAAGGATGTGCAAAAAAACAAAAAAAATCAGTAGTTTCTGTAATACCTCAATTAAGGAGCATAAATATTGAAGCCTGAAGTATCTTGAGAATCTAAGCCACCAATTCTGACAGCAGAAGGTGCCACTGCTAGAGCTGGGGAAAAAAATCTTTGCCTTTCTTTGCACGAGCAAGGAATATCTCTCTCTCTGGAAAGGCAAACAAAACATGTAACAGTATTATTTTAAGTTCTGTTGAATTCCACACTTTTGGGTTTATGTTTTACCTTTCAGTTTTCTGCTGGCAAAGCTAGGGTTGGGCTTCCCCCCCCCAATCCCATAAGTATTCTGATTCTGCAATATGGCTGGAAAGGTTTAAAAGAAACGTTTGTTCCACTTTCATAAGCTGGTCAATTGACAGGGATTCAAGCATCTCAATTACAAAAAGGATAAGCAAACTTCTGGCCATGGTCCAAATTTCAGAGTGTAGGGTAAGAAAATCTGTTCATAGATGACATCAGTGAACTAGGTAACACCTTCAAAGATGGTCAAACACTTAGTCAAAGAGGCTGAGAAAGGGATTGATGTGAAATAGCTGCAGTTCAAGAAGCATTTTGCTGTCAGGTGCTCTTTCACTCCAGTTTCTCCTTCTGAGAAGCAGCAGAACAGACAGCATTGGTATTTGGAAAGCTTTTGGTTTCCCTACCCACAAGCTCCCCAGACAAACCCCCTCCAAAAGCTAAATCCTTCAATTTGATATCCTTCCAGGTCACCAGCCAATCTGTCACATCCCTGGTGTGACCTGGCCTTTTAGGGAGCCAGGAAGCGATGGGGAAGCGCTGCTTAGATATTTTCAAATGGCAATATAGTAAACGATGATCCTCAAAGCAGCATCACTGCAAAACGGTGACCAAAAGGCACAGCTACTTCCTTGGCCAACAGAGACCTTTGTCCCTGTGATTTCATGCAGGAGGATGGGTTTTCTTTTTCCCAGGCATGAGTAAAGCAGATCAGCAGGATGCAGTGGATGGCTTGGTTGCCAGTTCCAAAGACAGGATAAAAATGGATTGTCCTGAGAAAGGTCAAAGCATGTCACCAAGACCACAGAAATGCTATCAGCCTCCCCATATCACAAGCTCTTGGCAAGATCAGCTAAACCCATCTCAGCCTTGCCAGGCTCCCTACAGTTCACACCTCCTGCTCTGGGCCATGACTTCAGCCCAGACAAAAACCTCTCTTGTCCTATGGCTATGCTGGACCTGGGGAGAGCTTTCCCCAGGTCATGCTGTACCATTGCTCTTTCCAAGGTTTTTGCAGCAGACCCTGTAGCAGGGGGGGATTTTGCTTCTTCCCATGCTGGGCTGGATATCAGGACCATGACCCAAGCACCAGACACAAGCTGCACCTGCCCAAAACCCATATGTCAGAAATGGGAAGGGACACTGCAACCAACTCACCATGGAAATTGTTATGATATACCTCCTAGGCACTAATCACATACTCATCCGGTACAAGCCCCAGGGCTCCCTGCAGACATCATCTGCCAGCCAAGGACACAGGCTCCATTGCTTCATTGCAGAGAGTTTCCATCCAGGTGAAAAGAAAGGTTGCAATCAAACAAACATCAGGAATTTACATCAGCAGGTGTTTCTGCTACAATCCAGTCTCAATGCAACAATGGGCACTCTGTCCTTTCTGTTAGGGAGAGATAACAGCAACTGACCCCTTGGCACCTCCCAGGGAACTTCATCTAGGCCACCAGCACTGCTGTGAGTCCCCAGCACAGCAGGACAAATCCCTCATCCTGTTGGCACAGCCTCATGCTGCGTTGGTGAGCACTTCAGCACTGGCCAGGCATCCCATCCATCCCAGCTGTGCAGCAGCAGCAGGGTTTGCCTAGAGAGCACATCAGGAAGCACCTGGCCTCCAGCCACATGGGCTAGCACTGCGTGATGCAGGATGAACTCACAAGCCCTCAGTACTGCTTCATTTTATTGCAATAAAGAAGAATCAAGTAATGACAGGCTGAGGGGTGGGCAATGGGGTAATGGGCAAGCTGCCATAGAGCAAAGTAAAAGGAGACCCTCTCATCCTGCTCTTTGCCTTCCTCCACTCCCCAGCCACTTGTGATTGCCTGTGAAAGTGCCAGGCAATGCAGAGAAAGCTGTTGGACAAAGCTGTCACCGAAGGACTAATTCATAGATGCGATTTATGCTCGGCCTTTCAGCCTAGTCACTTCCACCGGCTGCAGCAATTAATGACAGCAACCTTCCTGCACACCCCAGCTCTGCCTGCTCTCTACCTCGCCAGCCAGAAAACACCATTCCTTTGAACTCCTCTCATTATCAATACTGCATTAACAGCAGACACTTTTTTAATGTTGGCATATATAATCACCACTAAAGAATATGGTCAAGTATAGTATATTTGCTTTTATGGCAAGATAAAAACGGACCTGCCTTCGTAGGCGCACCTTGCCTGGACACCAGCTCTGCTCCAAGAGGCTTGCAATGGAAGGGGTGAAACCCTGAGATGTACTGACAGGATGAAATGGTCTCCTGAGGCAGCCACAGCCTCTGGAAGGCATTTGCAGCCATCTTGCTCAGACTTTTAGCTAAAAACAATTCACACCTGCGCTTTGCAGTAGGTGATCCATCGATTTAAATGATGCAGTATTGGCAGGTCAAGAGGCCACAGCTTCTTTTGAGCACTCTGTCAAATTAACCATTAACAGCAAAGCTGACTTAGTTTTACAATTCCTTGGACAAGCTAATTTTCATGGTCCTGCACCTTAGCCCTATCAACATCACAGGCAAGTTCAGTTGACCACTTACCCTATATCAGAGCCACCTCCTGCCCTCCCAAAAGCAAGGCCCTTTAGCTGAGCTAAGAGCATCCCAACATATCGCAAAGCTGTACATGCACAAACACAGGAGTGCCAGCAGGTTTCAGGGTAAACATACAGTTCCAGCCCCTCTCAGATTGTTTTAGCTGGGATGCTTCTTGAGCCGGAAACCACAGAAATAATTTGTCAAGTGAAGACACCCAGACCTTCAGGTGCATTCTGAGTATCCATCCTCATTCAGTTTTCCCAAAGAAGCAGAGTGTACCTGGACAATCAGAAAAGCAATATGTAGTTTCCATCAGATGGCTCACAGCAGACCTAACCACAGAACCACAAACGGGATGTCCCCCCCCAGCAAAAATGAGCTTTTAGCAAAGCTGACCTAAACACCACAGTTTAATAATATACATAGCTGGTTCATGCCAAAATCCCCAGATCCTGATTTCCTTAGACATGGAGGAAAATGGAGTAAGAACCTGCCTTGTAACTGCTGAGACTCACACCGGTCTCTACAAATAACCAAGCCAACTGCACCAGACCTCAAAGGGTTTGAGAAAGTATTTGACCCTCTCTTCCCTGTCATTTATGTGTGTTTCTGATTTCAATCATGCTGTGGCATCTAGGGCACCCAGCTGGATTTACAGGAAGCTGACAAGCTTGGACTATAATTAATTTACTGTGATAATCCCAGTAGGCATGGCCGACCAAAGGGAAGAGCTACAGAGAAACCAGCATCATCTGTCACACACAGACCCTTAGCACAACTGTGGAGCCTTCCCCCCTTGAGTGCTCCCCTCTAAACAGGGTAACAGCACTGCCTTACTTCCACAGAACCTGGGAGGAAGGGAAAACACACTCAAGTCAGGGAGCTGCTCAGGCACGGTGATAATAGGAGCTAGGCAGACACACAAGAGCGAGAGGACTTTAACCAGAGCAGCACATTAAATATAAAAGAGAAGTCACCATGGATGTTAATATATAGCATCAGGATTTATTCCCCCCTCCTGTTCTCAGTATCATGTGACAACATTAATTAAATGTGTTTCTGACCCTGCTGCGCTTCTTTAAATATTTGCCATTCTCCACAAGCACTGTTTGGTTAATGAAATGAAATTAATGAGCTCATTAGATTGTGCTGTAATCTTTCAGATGCGAGCCTGGCACTCAGAATCACTGTTCCCTTTCTTCTGCTCTTGCGGTTTAACTCGACACATTCAGCTCTAGAAGCAACAGCTGAACAGTGGAGTAATCAATTAATGGGGCAGTCCGGCACAAGAAGGGGAAGGAGGGAAGACCAAGCCAACAAGATGCAGCTTGCTAACTTTCCCACGGGAGCTGATACTGCAGAGCTCATGACTCTGGCACATAGCTTCAATTGGTGGATGCTTCACCAAGGTGAAGATCAGCTAGAGGAGTCTGATGTCGCAGGAACGGAATCCATGGCTACATCCACGGATTTGCTATGTGAAAGCCAAGAGACTGTAGAAGAGGAGCTCAGATTTAAAACTTCCAGTCATGCCTCTTAATAGCAGCCCCTGGATCCAGCTGAAGTTGAAGGAGTCTCACTCAAAACTAATGGATGCCATGGGGTTGTCTCACCACTCAGACCACTGTAATCTCTAAGCCACTTCCTTGAGCATCTCAGCAAGGAAAATGCACATGGCCCACATCCCTCCACCCAGGCAACTCCCCATGGTGATAACCATCACCCAAATTCTCCCCCATGCTGATACAAACCACCCTCAGGCAACCTATCTTTCCCAAATCTTCCTCCTGCCCGGAGCAGCACTCACATCGTGGTATCCACCACTGAAATAACACCATGAGAGCAGCAAGCAAAGCTCTTTGCCTTCAGGCTGCACCACCTCACCAAGTGAGCACGATTTCCACCTTTTTTTGAGCAGGAAGGATTCTCCCAAGAGCAGTGCTCTGTTTTTCTATTGTCTTGTGAAGCTCCACTAAAGAATTAACTCGGATTAAAGAGTTTCTACAGCAGCACAAAATCCTCTGATGGGGAAGAAAAGAAAGGGAGTAGGGTGGACAATAACACAAAAAAAAGCTTCAGTAAATCTCTGTCCAAGGAAGCAAATAGGTGTACTTCTGCATGCATATAAGCCCCACAGTTCAGAGACTGTGTTAGCTATCGTGACTCCTAATAGCACTGCAGGAATTCAGGGTAGGAAATGTATGCAAATTGAATTCTCTCTGTGGCTGTATTCCCCAATGGATTGGATCGCAAAGCTTTATCAAGCTCTCAGGCCCTGGGCTTTTGTAATTTACCTTTTAGCCCAGAAGTTGCATGACATTGAACTGGGCCTGCTGAGGAAAAACAAGAGGATGATGAGCACAAACAGAGGGGGAGTGAGAGAAAAGCATTCACACAGTGAGACACTGAAAAACCTTAAAGATAGAAAGAAAATAAGGCGAAACACAAAGTCTCCACAAAAGCCTCAGGAAAGCAATGCCACAGTCACGGTTGCACAGCACATGAAAAACAAAACAAACAACGCAGCAAAACAAAACCCCAAACATCTTTCCACCAAAGCTGGAAACCCCACAATAGCTGTATTCCCACAGCCATCCATTGCACCACCCCCCCACACTCAAAACGTCTTCTCATACGTGCTTAAGCTGTGTCCCCCCTGCAGCTTCGAGGATTATCACACCTTAGCTTGAAAAAAGCCAGCACCACCTCTATCC